CCCCCCCCCCCCCCAACTCCAATTAAATGTTCTCCTCCTCCCCAAACTCAAGTGTCTGCAGTGCCTTTGGCCTGGGCTGGATCTGGACAAGAACATGCTGGAACAGGCAGCCCTGGCACTGCCTTTCTGCAGTGTGCAGCACACAGAATTCCTGCCGCCTCCTCCTCCTTCCACATACACGCTGCCTTGGAAGCAGATCCTGCAACCTGTCCTGCTCACCCACAGGGATCTGTGCTAGAGAGGGAGGGAACACTTCCAGTCTACTCTGTGTAGCTTTTTTTTACTGTGAGGCTTGGACAGGCTGCAGAATTACTAAATCTCCCCTTTTGTGAGGATCCAAACCTCCCTATAATCTGTACAGGGGTGTCAGCCCATGGCTCTCCCTGCAGGAACCAGGGCTTTAGCAGTCAGACCTCATAGCACTCAACTCCAGTTCAGCCACATCTGTCTTTTACCAATAATCTGCAAGGAAGAAAGAAGCTGAAACTCCTGAAGCAATGTGGATCAATTCCTCAATGACTACAGTTATTTTTTTGACTAATGGTGTTTTCTTATGCTGGGTTATATATAAAGTATGACTGCACAAATTTAAGAACAAAGAAAAGCTGCTAGAACCATGAAGTAATTCTGTTTTCTGAAAGAACAGCCCAAGGAGATGATAAATTACCAAGGATTAATAACTCACTGAAGAAACAGTAAAGTTAATCCTAGATACAATGAACTCTGGATGTAACACACAGCCCTAGGAGATGTTACTATTATTCAATGTGTCCTGGGAGGCCCTTTTTAGAAAACAGAATCCATCTGATTACTTCAGGTATATACATAGGGTATATTCAAGACCCAGGAAATGGTAATTTTCAGGCCCTGAAATATTGTGTTCCTTACTCACATTAAAAAGTGAATAAATGAAAGCACTGGGTTCCTTCAGCTCAGAACAAACAGCCTCTTCTCGTGCACTCCTAAACAGAAAACAGTATTACAAAGCCACCAGGAGGCAGCAGATTAAAATATTTGTGCTCTAAAGAACAACCATTAAAAAAACCCAAACCCTGCCCCTCTCCCAAATCTTTAATCTGATATGGAGGAAATGTGTTCTCCCAGACCCCTGATAGAGCATTTTGCTTTATCCACTGATCTCTATTCTCTGCATACCTGAAATCAGTAGCAATTCCGCTGCTGTCAAACAGCTTTATGCAGGAGCATGGTTAAAATGGAAATCAAACTGATTTCTGGAATAGCACTCACTGGAAAAAAATGAGCAAAAAAAGTAGGTAAAAGCGATATGACAAAATATAAAACCTCCCAACAGATTAAACCACCTCTGGGGTTTGCTGAAAAATTCCAGCCCCCTGAGCTCTCTCCTGACTACCTTCTTTTGTTTACAGAATGCCACCCAAGAAGCAGCACTGGAATTGTGACCAACCCAGGACAGGCTCTGGCTCCCTGCCACACCAACGCCGCTGCTCCAGCTACGCTGCCCTGGCCCCTGTCCAGCTCTGCATTCCCTGACCCAGGAAAGCTGCAAGTTGTTTCCTGTCCATCGTCCTCCTTTTCTGCTGGTATAAAAAACTGTCATCAGTTGTGGCTCAGCATGGTTTAAGACAGCCTGAGATCACTACAGACATAAATGTAAGCTTTTAAACTGGTACATTACTTAAAATCCTAATTATTTATAGACATAAACGCATTTTGTATTTCTGTATGTATGTTTTTATATCACTACATATATTTTACGGTATTATATGGCATTACATAGCATAATAATAATAGTAGTATTAATAATAATAACAACAATAATAGTAACTGCTCTTACAGAGTCTTGTGTTACAGGCTGAACATAGATATGAAACACAGTGGGGCAGCAACAGAGATGCTGGAACTACCTAAAACATTTCTATATATGGCTCTATGAGTCCAAGGTATGTGCACAGTCCCCCAACAAAGCAGGGCATGAGCAGCATGCAATCAGCCCCAGGAAAGGCACTTGGCAACCAGCCCAAGGATAAACCACAACAGCAAACACTCGTGATTTCAAAACCAAAATTCAGCTCCTAACAATGCATCTGTGCCTCTCATGTCTTGTTTCAAACAAGACACTACACATTTTCCACTGCAAAGATCACGATTAATTGGGAAAGTAAAACGCAAGCACTGTTTCAGCAGAAATCACAAATTTATTAATCCTTAAATATATCAATCATTTACCATTATGGCAAGAAATATGTACACTGTGTCCCATGGTAAACTGCAGTGTTCCAAAATGACAGAAGTGTAGAATTCAGTTGTGGTGGAGAGAACAAATCACAATTTCCTCACGTCTTGGTGTGGAAGACAAACTTGGTCTACAGTAATACGTCAACACCACATGCTAGGTTAGAAGTATAAAAAAAACACCCTACACCTAATTCGTTAATTTTAAATACAGTTATGCCACTTATAGCCGCTTCACAAAAAAAAAAAAAAGAAAAAAAGAAAAAAAGAAAAAAAAAAAGAAAAAAATCAATGAGAAAAAAAAATGAGGCCATTACTTTTTTCACAGATCCCATTGGCAGGTTAATATGGCTCAACACATTTATTGTAGATGCTTATTTTAAATATATATTGTTTAAAGTCATGTAGTAATTATCAGAGAAGCTTAAGTCCATCTACCATACATCCACTAGTAACAACATCAACATGTTTAAGAACTGCTTCTGATTAGTAATCAACACAGAAAGGTGAAATGATACAAATTAGGAAGCTTTCCCATTTTAAAAAGTCCCGGCTGCCGAGTTGTAAATTCTGGACGGCTAAAAAGGACACTGACTGAGATACCATGCACTGTACAGCGCTGCGGGGAGCAGGAGCCTGCTGCTAACGGAACCATGGGAGATCAGGAGCAGCCCAGCCTGGCCTTTCCTGAAGGAAGTGGAAGGGAACAAACTGAAATTCTTGTGAAGACTCATTTTTACAGCAATGTGAGGGAAGGAGAACTAGTCCCTGCTGCAAAGTTTGCGTTCCGCGCTGCCGGCGCGGCGTTCCTCCCTCGGCCCGGAGCCGGGACAAACCCGTCGGGATCGCCGGCCTCGATACCGAACGCTGCCAGGGGAGCTTGGGAAACCAAGAGAGGACTGAGGGGAAGAGGGGGAGACACAAACCTGTGGTGAAGTGTTAGGGTCCCACGGAAAACCGGTGTCTCCGTATTTCGTTTCCAGAGAAGCAACAGCAGCAGTGTAATGTAAGTAAACTCTTCATACTTAGCTTTAAGGCCTAATATTTCTCGAGTATATTACCCACACAACTGGTCTATACATTAACCCACATATTATATTTTTTAAAGCCTCTTTAAAAAATTTACAGTACATCCTAAAAGCGATAAAAATCTTTCTCTTTCCTTCCATTTTAATCCTCGAAAACTGCCTCTCAATTATCACTTAGTTCCTTACAGTTTTTAGTTTTGCTTAATCATCTGACAGAACCTTTCAGTTAAGCAAAATAAGAAAGCGAAAAGGACTCCAGAGGAAAACGGAAGCTGCTGACTCACCAGAACACTGACAGTTAATTCTGGAGTGGCCAAGCCAGCAAATGAGGAGATTTTTCCAGTTTACACAGACTAATAAACGAAGAAGGCTGCAGCTGGTCCAAAGCCAAGATATTAACACTTCCACATTTATCAGTGATTTTGTCCATCTATGATAAAAATCTGTTTTACAGTGAAGGAGCTGCCAGCGGCAATCCTAACCATTCCTACCAGAACCAAAGCAAAATCCTGGGACTCAGGAGAAAAAGGAGAAGTCAAAAAACAGTTCTTAATAAAAGAAGGTAAAATATACTTTTTCTTTTTTTTTCTTTTTTTTTTTAATAAACATGATAGATTTTAAAGTTGTCTGTCAAAACTTGGCATAAATGGAGCAAGTGACAAATGTATTACTGTGTGTCTACTGCTGTCCATCCAATATCTCTTTTTGTCTTTTACGCCTTGTTATTCTCTATTTGCATGGAACATCACCTTCATTGAAATGTTAACAGTGTACAGATGGAATATACAGCAACGTGGTGCATCACAAATGTGTTACATGAAGAACCTTCACAACTTCATGCACTCAGAAACATGCATGAAGAGAACGGGATGGCCAAGATGGTAATCAACCAGGTGCGTTGGGTACAGAAAATGCAAGAGCGGCACCGCTGATATTTTTAGCTAGGAGGAAGGAGAAAAAAACAAACAGATTTCCATTACTGAGGTAACATCACCACCAGATAACAACACATGCTCAAGTGTTAGCCAATGCCATTGAAAAAAAACCATCTTGTCGAGATCACTTAACACGATACCGGGAAAAAGCAAGGGAAAAAACCGCCACTCAGGCAAGGCATTCTTTTATTTTTCAAACCACTTTACAGACATTTTCCATCTTTACAAGATGCCAGACAGGCTGTTAAAATAAAAAAGGAAACTGAGGCAGGAAGCCAAAGTGCCTTAAGGGATTCCTTAAGGGAGGGAGGGCGGAATCCGAAAGTCTCTGGGTGTAACTCAACTTCCTCAGCATGGACATCGCAGGCACTGCCATGGACTGAGGCTCTTGTACAAAGACTGGACCAAGTGACAAGGAAGAATCGGGTGTCATTCACATGCAAGACATGCCAGAGCCGAATGCAGAGAGAGAAGGAAGGGAAAGGAGCTGGCAGCAAGTATGGAGCTAACTGAGGTTGGAGCATCATTTGTATTACCGTAGCATCTAGGGGCTGGAGCCGTGGTGGGATCCCTCTGCGCTAGGCACTGCACAAACACAGAACAAACTCTTTACTCAGCATTCCTGCTCTCTGGGACTGTGCTTATCAAAGCATAAGAAGGTGTGAGCTGTGGTCAGGGAGGGAACATAAGCCTCACTGAGGCTAAAGGTAGGTTAGGGAGCCACTTTCAGGCCCAGCAGCCCTTTGGCTGCTCCTACTGGGCCTGTGCACTCGGCGAGAACAAGCAGAAACACATTTGCACAGGTCCCCAAGAACAAGGATACAGAGAACAATTTCCTACCATCTCCTATCACCATATCCCATCACCCAGACAGAAACGATGGGCGAGACAGAAACCCAAGTCTGCCTCATCTCAACGCGCAGCAAAACTACCAATACAATTTATTCATAAACAAATATATTTATAAACAAATATACGTTTGTGCTTGTATCCTTTTTCAATTACGTTCTCTGCCACAAGGAAACATTTCCCTACACCTACAGCTACCAAAGACCTCAGTTCTACCCTTAGATTTATGCACACTCCTTCTCATAGTCCTGAAAACAAGGAAGCTTCCGTGCTTGCAGAAACTGATGTAACATCATCTAGGATACCATGCCTGCAGAAGCAGATCACAGCTCTAATCGTTTCTGCAACTTTATTAGATTTGAAACTCATCTTCAGACATGATATATAAAATACTTTTGTATTATGGAAATGCCATTATTAAGTACTGTATGTTGGTAATATTTAAATAAGTAGCTGTAGACTGCATACTTTCAAATAAAGGGAAGATAAACCAGAACGTGTTAATCAAGTTTCTTCTCTAGTTTTCCAAAATGGAGTTATTGCTGCTCAGACTGGGAAAAGCAAAGATGAAATTTGAGACCATGTAAAAATGGTCAAGACAGGTCATAGGAGGTGATTCTAGCTTGGTGCCACGTGGGAATCTCCCAGTCAGACTTAAGAAGAAGGGGAATAAAGAAAGAATGTTTGTGCTGAAATGGGAGCCATCAGCCTAGAGGAGACTCACTAATCCTGAGCACAAGCAGTAGGACTGATCTCACGCAGCATACTGACACTTAGGTGGAAGGCACTATAAAAAGAAAAGAAAACAGGACCATTGTACAAGGAGAACCAAATAACCTTGAGGGCTGGCTAATCCAAAAGTATTACATGGAATAATAGGAAGTCCAAAGCTCTAGAAGTTTCTATGTACTCACTGGCTGGACATGAGAGTTGATAAGTAGGTGGCTGTCTCAGATGTGCTGCAGATCACAAAAGTGCAAAAATCATGCCAGAACAGAGCAGGGCATTTCTCATGTCAGAGAAAGACATTGGGGAATTCCATCAAGTCCCACAGTTGGACAGAGCATTTCAGAAGAAGCCAAGCTAATGGAAAGGCAAACCTCAAACAAAAGAAGACATTAAGGAGATAAGGTAGTTGGAAAATGGAGATCCCATCAATGCCATCTGGGGTAGCGCTGGCTGTTTAACCCTACAGAAGTAGAAGGTGGGAACGATCTGATCAGCCTTCCTACAAACCAGCTGATGTCTGCACACCTAACCAGTGCAGGAGAACGATGACATACAAGAACCAAAGATACACTGAAAATGACTAAATTTCACACTAAAAGTAAGGCTCCTAACCAACAGACTAATGATATTTTGGAACAGTGCTAGGAGCAAGTCCAAAAACCTCCTCTGAATTCAAGATGAGAGCTGTTTATGGGATTTTTGTGATATTGCTGCCAGTGCTACACATGTAGGGCTATGTTGCTAACTCAGGGAATCTCTCCTTAAGCCTCAGTCTGGTTCTGTGACCCCTTAAGCTTGGATACCCCTCACAATCCTGGAATCTCCTCGGTCTGATCCCATAGGCTCAAAACATTCACCAATACAGAAATTGCCCTGCAACCTCCAAAAAGTTACTCCATGGTGATTTTGCTTCTCCTTCCACCCATGGCAGTTCCAGAAATTCTCATCTTTACTAGAGAGCACAAATAACTGCAAAGAACCTCCTGCAGCACCTCTGTCCCAAAAACACAGATGTGAAAAAAAATAACCAAAGATTAAATGATTCCCTAGTCCAATTCATGTCACTGTGCTGTAAACACTGACTGCTCAGGGTGCAGTAGTGGGCCAGGTGAACCTGATTCACTTGGGCTTTCTGGCTCTACACACACCCAGCTCAGATCCCTTTATGAACACCTCCAAGATTTACCTAACACTGCGTTTCAAGGAAGTGTAACTGCTCTTTGAGTATGATCTGTTGAAACACTGGCAGTGCAGCTGGAATGTGAGAAACAAAGGACAACGTGGCTCCTGTTCCCATTGGTTTCACATTTTGAAATAAAACAGTTATCTCTAAGTAATAAAATTTCTTTTTTCCTAAATAAAAAAAAGAATACAAAATCATCACCATGGAAGTTTAACACTTCATTCTACCTTATTTCTTACTTCATCAAGTATTATTTAATATAGGAGAAGAGTGCTGCAAGAAGTAAAATACAAGACATGATGAAATTCAAAGGATGAAATCTGAGCCCTTACCATCCACGCCAGGTAATTCAGCCACTCTCCACATTAAGACACCTGACACAAATGGAATTGTATCCTATACAGAGGGCTCACAACTGTGCAAAGCCAGGCCTGGACCAGTGCTGCCTATCTGGGAAACCACAAGTCAGTGAGATTGGAGTTCATTAGCTGAGGCTATTGAAGAAGAAGAGGAGCCAACGGCCTGAGTGTCATGTGGCTCAAGGAGCCTGGGCACTGCCTGACTCTGAGGGCATGGCAGGGCCTGGATGAAGAGCAGAGAGAAAAGCTGACGGGAGAGACGCGAGGCTTTCCCACGGGGATGTCGGAGCTGTCTGACGGGAACACTCGGCAGTTACGTGTGCAGAGTGTGGGGAAAGATGGTACTGGGATGGCTCAATTTACAAGGGAAATGTGCAAACTGGCTCAAGCCCAAGTTGCAGGGAACATATCTAGGCCTGAGAAAGTAGAGGTGGCTGGAAATCACACTAAATGTTAGTCAAACATCAGGTTTTTCCCAGTAGTGACACTTCTTTACATGAAACTTTCTGGTCAGCTCTCACAGCTCCATATATCCTACTGCTTTTTATTTTTCCAGGTTTTCCAGAAATTCTATTCCAGGTTTTCCAATCCTGTTTTGTGTGACTTCCATCAAGCTTTCTCTACATTAAAACACCTTCCTGCTCTTCAAGCTGTCAGTTCAGGGACCGAATTGAATCGGTGGGCATCACAGTAGAAAAAAACACAACCAAAAAAGCGCATTGTTTAAAAAACCTCCGCACCAATACTACGCACACCAGCGGGTATAATACATAATAAACAACCACAAGAAATGACACTACCAGAGGACGGCTCGCAGTTTTTAAGGCCCAAAGCAGCTATCGGACTACGCGGTGTGCCTAGGAGGTGTGAGCTGGTGCTGGGGCTGTTCCTTACTTGATGGGTACGGTGGGCGAGCCCGAGCGGTGGAAGTGCACGTTCTGCCACTTGCCGTCGCGCCGGTGCCACACGCGCGTCTCCTCGGACTGCATAGTCTTTGGCATGCCGCTGCCGTCCATGTACTGCGTCAGGCGGATGTAGGCGATGCACGCCGCGTCCTCGCCCACCAGGTGCACGTGAGGGTTCAGGATGATGGTGTGGATCGGCTTGTTGCTTTTGGACAGAGCTACAGTGTTGTGATAAGGGCTGTTAGGGACTTTGGTTTATTTTTGTAGCTATCGACTTGGGATGCCCACCCTCACCCCACCTCTCTCACACCGCATTCCCAAGTCCCACCCCCCGTGAGTTCCCTCCTATACCTTTGTAGGTTTACTCCCGACTGTCCAGCACTCATAGGAGTCTACATCTGTTATTTCTTACCTTATTTTGTTTAACCCTGATTTGTAAAAAGTTTCTAAGTTTGCTAGCTGTGAAGAATAATTGGTTCTTTCTGCAACTCCCACCCTCCGAAGAAGTCCTGTTAAAAGAAACAGCCCAGACCCCCAAATCCTTTGTCTCTTCCTGGCATTCTCTTTGCAAGAATAAACCATGAAATATAACCCAGAAGAGTCCCCCTTTTGGCTTCTTTACTCAGTCGATAGACTTGTGCTCAGGGGGAATTGGCCTGCTCAAATCCTGATCTAAACCCAGACAGCAGCTCTGGTCAAGATCCCTCCTGGCCCCAGGCTGAAGAGAGAAGAAAACCTGTATTTGAGCTAGCCAGAAAACTCTGGCCTGAGTCACTACAGGACACACACACAGGAGGGCATGCAGGAGAAATCACATTTGCTCTGGGTAAGCCAGAAGAACTCGTGCCAACCTGTTTTATACACAAAAATCTCATGCTTAGCAGATACAAAGTCATAATAAGGGTTTAATGATAATTAAATCTGGTTTTTTTTGGTAGAATGAGCACAGTCACTTATTATACACTATTTATTAAGTAAATACATTTAATCCATGGACATATATGGATTAAGTAAAGTGGAGGGCACCATCTGGAGTTTCCCAACATTTCTGTTTCACTGTTATGTCTAATAACACTTGTACCTAGTATTTTCAGTTAAAACCAGCTCTTCACTCATTCTTTATTTTGACTTTTTAGTTCCAAATACCTGTAACTCCCTTCTGCCCTCTGAGGTGCCCTGTGATGCGTGAATGAGCAGAGCAGAAGCAGACTGAAAAATACCTACAGCAGAAATTTATTAATTTATTAATTAATTTATTAAAAAAAATAATACTCCCTTCCCCTGCCCGAGTCAATTAACTCCCAAACCAAAAAGGTCATTAGGTGAGAGACACACAGTCACAAGGAACAGGTGAAGGCTTGGAGATGAAAAGGGAATATTTACCATTTTCAAAGTAAAACCGGTGGAAGTCCATCCCTTCTACCAGATTACCCAAAGCTTCAGGTTCAAAAGACGTAAGGCCTGGATCACAGATTTTTCTATGGAAAAGAGGAAATTCTCCAGTGAGAACTTCATGTGGTTAGGGATCACAACTTTGGAGAGGTCATTTTTCATTGTTTCTTTTATTCCTATCAAGCATTTCACCTACTCATGCCATCACACTGGAAAAGAACAGAATTTAATGTGAGGAGAAGGCATGGAGGTCTGGTTTCAGCTCTCTCAGTAAATTTGGCAGCTTACTTACAGTGGACTTAAGTGGACTGCATTTCATATAAATCATGTTCTGACCAAAACAAAGACCCACAAGTCAGTGTTATTACAAGTAGGAATTTTTACATGTGGCGATGCAAACTGCAGCTGTGCAATGCCAGGGATATTTTTTATGCCTCACGTCATTATGTAAGCAAGATTTAAGTATTTCCTTCTAACTACACTGGAGATATAACAGCAGCTCTTCTGAAACCGGCCATGTGAGAAGTCAGGGCAAAACAGCCATGCAAATACCTTGTTTTTTGTGGGGGCATCTGGGAAGGCATTTCAACAGTCCATAGCTCCAAGCACAGGCAGTCCCATATAAACATAACATATTTACACAGGCAGTGCCCAACACCCCAGCTCTCCTCACTCCCTCCAAAACGAGGAACTTACGTGTAAGCTTCGAAGTCCCCGTTGTTGATGGCTTCGATCAACTGCTCGGTCACCTTGATAATCTCCTGCTTACGAGCTGGGGAGAGATATAAACCCAATCTTATAGAGGAAGGCAGAGTGGAAGGTGACAGCTGACAGGTATTCTGTCACTCCCCAGCTGGCTCAACAGCCATCTCTCCTCCTTTCTACCAAGGACATGATGTTACATGGTTGCTTTACACTTATTTGCCTTCAGTGCACTCCTATATCCACAAGGAAATTAAACACATGTCAAGATCAATCCACTTCCCCATCACACTTTTAATTATCTTTCTTTCACTGGAAGATGTGCTGTTTAAAAAGAAAAACAAACCAAGGCCCAACTCTAGACTTCAAACTCAAGGAAGCTGATTACTGTTTTACAGCCAGTCCGGCTGTAGTAGCTCTCCTGTGCAAGCAACAGTTACAATTCCCCAGCACACTCCCACACATGGATTTGACCAGTACCACAAACATGCCTGGAATGTTAAAACTGAAAGAACTGAAAGAAATCACATTCTTCTTTAAAATAAAATCCTGGGGAGCACATGTTATAAATACACAGAGAAATTAACTTTCCAATGCTGTGCTCAAAACTGGTACTGTGGTGTTCACCTTCTCCTAAGTGCATGCCTAAAGCATTCAGGTGAAAAGGACCAAAAAAAAAAAAAACCAGCAAGGAAAAAGGTGATTGTGAAAAAACCAGATATAAAGGTCTAGCAAGGCTTTTTGTGAGCAGCTCTTGACTGTTGGCTCTATGGCCAAGAGCATTTCAAGTATGAATTGCCTTATTTTTCACAAGGACCGTGGAAAAAATGAAGATTTTTAACAAAGAGAGCAGCAATGCCTCCATTATTATTGGTTTAAATAACATGGACTGTGTGGACACTGCATGGCATTGCCAGCACCAGCCAAGTGGTGGGATGCCTGAGTCAGAAATAATGGTGCAGTCTTACAGAAGGCTGGCAAAAAGAAATCCAGAACAAGCAGACCTCGTGCAGTGAGGAAATTACCAGTTCTGCACGCAACATCTCACATACATACAGCTGAGCTAAAGGATTTGATTTAATAAGCCAGTAACACATCTCAATCAGAGATGAGGAAATTACAGACCATTAAATCAGACAGTGGGAAATGAGGTAAAAATCTCTGATCAGTTGCTACATAATCACGAGCTCATGTCAGTGGATAACGATAAAAGCAATTAATATGGCTACAATGGTACTGTAGTTTCCACACACAAGAGGCACAAAACCACATGGACACATAATTTATTGTCACTTGGCTCAAGACAATTGGCATTATACCCGTTTTCACTAACAGCAGTTGTGCCTTTGCTGAGTTTTACCACGGTACCTTGGACGTTGAGATACAAAAGATATAATTCTACATCAATCCCAGAAAGGAGAAATGGAACCACATTGCCAAACTGCTGCTTTTCCTGGTTTTAGCTCCAAAATGCAATTGCTGTGGAACATACGTTTTCATGAAGCTTTCTGACAGCAGCCACCTTACATTACGTGATGTGGTTCCAGCCAAGTTTCTCTGGGCTGTACTAACATCCAGGAGAGCTGTGTCTGCAGGCGTATCCATGGGATGTGAAACACATCCATCAGGAAGCTCTGGAGGCCAGCAAAGGAGATTACAGCATTTATCACTGCCTCCAGTCAATCACCATCCAACTCCAGCACTGGTGTCAGCACTTGTGGAAAGACTTCACAGTTCCCAGTGCAGACTGTCAGGAACAGGAAGATGTTGCCAAATCATCTGCCTTTCAACTCAGTCCTCAATTTTTCTACAAAATTACAAGCACTACATGAAACTATGAAAGCCACTATGCTACTCTCACCTTTTGGCGACACACAATTACACACATATTAGAAAATTACATTTCTTCCTGTTTAGTGATCTGATATACAGTTTCACTGGCAGTGAGTAAAAGGGAGAGGCGGGGAACAATTCAGAGAGTGGAACTCCAGAATTGATTTATCCTATTGTGTAAAACTCTTTGCCTCATTCCTAGCCCTTACTCAATACAAGAACAAGGCAGTGTGAGAAAACAGCAGACATCAAAGATTAATTCAAATACTCAGGAGCCACTGTGATTTTACACAAACCTCCTCCTCCTCATTGTTTTTAGCTTTTATGCCTTCTCATGTGGGGATTTGTGGGGATGCAGGGAGCCAGACTACAAATAGAGACCAGAAGTGTTTCTGCTTCGTTGTTGTCAAAGCAGAGGTTTAACCTGCAAGGAAGTAAGGAGGAGAAAGGAGATGGGAAAACCGAAATACAACACGTAGAAAATTGGAAAGAGACTGGAAAGCAGCAGAATGAAAATACAGCTGTGACTTGGAGGCCATGTGCATCCCATCAAATCCTTGCACTTACCCTTAGTGCAGAGGACAAAATAGGGAGGGCACTGGAGATAAATTCAGGTGAAATGGTTTCAGTAGGAACAGTGTCCTGCTACTGCAGACAGCCTCTGACAGCCTCTGGCAGTTCTTAGAGTGGTCAGAAAATTACCAAATTTTCACTCTGAGTTTGATGAACTCCACATAACATGTGCTCTTCAATAACTCCATTTTTTTTCCCATCTAAATACACACTCCATACTATACAAGGACAACACAAGGCATTAGGGAAGAGGCATCTGGCCAGTTCCCATCTGCCAGATAACTGTCACTTACAATCACCATTTGCATTTGACTTTTTCATTATTTATTTTTTTATCCAATAGTAAACTTGGCTTGTATTGAATTCTAGGACAATTATGCTGTTTGATGTACAGTGGCAATTTCATGCTATTATATTTTTCATTTGATGTGCAATCAGGACTCCCTAAATAAAACTACAGAAACTGAACTTCCTAAACAAAACTGACAACTGCAATGAGATTCTGGTAAAACTGGTTCAGCTACTTTTTCCACAGAGTGTGGTCAAAGTCAGTTCATAAAGTAAAGCCTGACCCATCCATAGTTTTTTAGAATATGACAATGGCTTTCCACAGCATAAAATTACATACTCTGTACACAAAGGCAGTTTGAACAAAAATATTATGAAGAAGAGCTATAAAAAGACCAAATAATAAGAAAAAGAACAAACAAGAACATTTCCAGTCAGTGGCTAAAATGTTTTCTTCAGCACTGCTGTAGCACATATGTTAACTTTTAATGAGTCATTAATCTCTAGCTATATTTCACTACCTCTTTTCCTTACTCAGCTACAGGCTGAGGGATGATCTTTCAGAATTAAAGATCACCATTAACACTAAGATCTAAACAACATAAAATGAGGAGAAGCACCATTTAAGCATCTAACACTATGAATATTTTCAGCCTACAAGGAGAAGTTCCCCAGGTAGTGAAATCAAATATTGCAGGGAAAACAACAGCACAAAATAGCAGAAGAAACGTTTTTCCAGGAGGAAACTCAGTGGCTTTCCTTCCCTTCCTGCAGCCCCAAGACATATTTATAAACTTAATCTACAAGAATCACGCAGAAAAGACAGATATTTTGGTATTTTGATTGCAGACAGAATGTGCAGCATAAAAGTGAGCTGTAGATATGTCAAAGTGAAGCCTTCAGTAATATCTGTACCCAAAACTTCACATTTTTTGACACACAAAAAAAAAGAGTCCTCATGACTCACTGACCACCATATTAGCCATGATTTTATTCAAAACTGACACCAGGGAAAACAATGATTTAAACCACTTGATGCTTCACACAGATACTGGAACATCCTTCCCCTGCCACCAGCCCTTCAGGTGCCTGTGTCATCACTACTGCAATGGCTAAGCAGAGAAGCACCTTTCCAGAAGAACAAGGTAACCTTGTTCCAGATTTCCACATGCACTTGGAGATGATTAAAATGATTTTGCTTCTGACTCACTCACATGTTGTTTCTCAAGGCAAAAACCCTTAAAACTTTTCAGCTGGGTACTCTTAACTGTGTATCTCGGTACACCTCAGATTGGATTAATCTCACAACATTTTGGACACGTATAAGTACAGACAAGTGAGTTTGTTCTCTCAGCTCCCCTCCCTTACAGCCAAGGGAGAGAAATCAGCACTTGCAGGGCACAATTCATCATATTCTAAAATAGATTTTTAAGACAAGTGTGACTCATCTGACCTATTTGCATTGGCTAAAGGGAGTCTAGACAAACAGCTCAAATACAAATATCTACACTGTGGAGGTGGATTAAATCCAGGGGGACAAATCTTCGCCATTGTGCTGTTGTTTTAAAACAGGACAGCTGGTATGGAGGTGACAGTGGTTTGCTGAAATGGAATGGCACAGCAGGGGGAACCAGGCTGCACTTCCCATCTGAACATCATCCCAACAAACACCAATTAGATGGAAAGCACACAGCCAGTCAAGCTATTTCTATGCTCTGGAAATAAGCGACGTCTGAGAAGAAAGAGGAAGACACTAGAAATTTTATCCTGTATTGTGTAACAAGTTCTGGCTCTGTGGATGTACCTGATTTCATTCAGATTTACAGCATAGACTGTTAAAAATCACACAACATTCTTCCAAATGATTCTCATGACACCAACACTAGAAATTTCTCTGCTAATATTTTTCCTTACAATTTCTGCCACAAATATTCCAATTAAATAATTTCTGAAAAGAAACTAAAAGAATGGGCTGCATGAATAAACAACTGACTGGGTCTGAGATCTACATAAAACCCACCTACACCTTCAGAAGCCAAGGCATGCTCCAGGGGACTTCTCATTTAAGAAGTTTATCAAGATTCATTGTAAAGAACACCAGCGCTTATCTCTTAGCCCACACTTAAACTCTGATAGGGATCAAAACATCTGAGTTGTCATCCCACATGTACATCTTTTTCCTAGAGCCTGCGATTCCAAAGACTCGCTCTGATTCATCGAATTATGAAACGGATGGATGATCTGCAGAATTTTATTAGGGTTATTTGCTATCCTTCACCTACCTGAAAACTGGTAAGCCTGCTACTGCTCCCTAGAAATTAGAATTCTTTAGCTATGGAGGCAAATATCTGAAAAATTATTCCAGAGCTTTTCCAC